ATATACAAAGTATAGTATGTATCAATTTTAAAGATTTTATTTAGACGTATTTCTTTAATTAACAATATCCAATATAATAATTTTTACTTTGACTTGTTCACTTTCATTTACCTCTAATTAATAATCATTGAGAATAAGTTAAAAATAACACTCCAATAGAAATCTTTGAGAGTAAATATTAAAAAAAATTTTAAATGGCGTAAATGAATTAAGTTGTTTAAAATTTATTAACAATTTTTTAATTGGAAATTTAAAAATAAAATCTCAATTAAATTATTAATATATGATTTTAAACAATACATTGAACCCGGGTTCAAATAAAATTCCCGGGTTCCGTTCGGGGTTTATGTTCGGTTCGGGTTCATATTATTTTCCTCAAAGGGTTTTATTCTCCGGGTTAGGGTTCGAATCCCTGGTTTTTATTTTATTTTCTTTTTTTATCAGCTACTGAAATTATAAAGGTATTTTTTAAATTTAATTTAAAAAAAATAGTTTTAATAATCTCTACTTCCATCGTAAAATGTATCTTGTAATTCCCCTCCCAAGAAGTTAATAATTTGCGAACCTGATGACATGAATTTTTTTCAAAATGGCTGTCCTATAACAAAAGGAGATGAGTTAGAATAGATTCCGAATAATAATCAAGCGGCATTATACAACGTTATATTCCTTATTCTATACTTCCCTTCGTATTAAAACACAAATAATATTCTTTAAAGCCTCATTTTTCCGTTTTTAACAAATCTCTTTCAATTTTCTAACTCGACAATGCCCCACTTAGTTATCTATCTAACTAACCATCTAAGCCCTCTCCGATGATTATATATACATGTTAGCGTCAACGTGTTTTTTCCGGCAATGTGTTATTTTTTCAACTTTAAAATCATTTTTTAAGTTTTTGAATTTTTTTTTTTTAATTTCTTATTAATTTATTATCAATATAAGATATAATAATTTAAATTTTCATTATAACATTTACCATTATTCATATATGCAAAATAGAAAATATGTTTAAGTAAACTCTTAAAATAATTCTAGAAAATTTTTAAAATTTTTAATAATTAATCCTTTTTTTATTTGAAACCTCTCATATTGAGCATCTTTCTCGTTCGTTGCTCGATTTTTCTGACATACATATTCATCATTCCTTCGGTATTTTTGCACATCAATCAACAGACCTCTCACAGGTGCTTTTGCTTTATTATTGGCAGCATTTTTTTTATTTTTTATACCTATGGCCATTCCCCACGAACGCAGAATCTGCCCATCCTGCATGAAACCAATACATTTAACAAATGATGGAGAATTTTTTGTTCATGGACCAATCTCTAACAGGTGTCCGCATTCAAAACACACGCCTCTTTCTCAGATCACTTACTCGCTTCCCCCCCCCTCTCATAGATTATCCCTTAAACGAAGTAATTGGTGCCTCATTCTCAGATATTTTTCTTAACTCCACAAAACCAAGTATCATAACGAGAATACCCAAAGGAGCGAGAATAAAAGTAACTAAATCTCTCAGCAACTGCATATCTTCTCTTTTGCAAAATTTTAACAAAGAAGAAGAATGGTTAAAATTTTTAAACTTTGGGTACAATACTTTCAAAATACCTGACATATCACTCCAAAAATCATTAACTCAACAAATAAAAGATGCCTGTTTAAATATCAACACTCATCTTCATGAGTCCCAAATCTTCAGACATCCCATAAACAAAAAAAAATAACCCCACTTCAACAAAAAGCCTCATTGATTTCGAAGAAAATTGACAGTCTTAATATCAATGGGGCCCTCAAACTCATTTCAACCAATGACACTCTGGCGGAATCCAATTTAGAAACCTTAATTAAGCTTCGATCAAAGCATCCCACAACAACATTTATGCCAATATTGCTCCAACCCTTCTCCCATTGTGCAGCAGATTTCACACAGGAAGAAGTAAGGAAAGCAATCCTATCTTTTCATCGGGATTCGGCTCATGGTCTAGATGGGATTAGACCAATTTTTTTACAGGACATTACCTCTCCTGTGATCTGTACACAGGTTTCAATTCTCACTAAAATCACAAACTTAGTCAACAAAATCCTAAATGGAGACGTACCCAGCTTTATTACCCCCTTACTATTCGGTGCCAGACTCATCGCACTCCAAAAACCAAACAAGGACATTCGGCCCATCGCCATTGGTTCAACTTACCGTAGATTGGTCGCTAAATTAATCGCATCTAGAATCAAACACGATGCCGCACACATTCTAAGCCCCTATCAACTTGGTGTAGGGATACCTGGTGGGTGTGAAGCCGCTGTGCACTTAACAAGAATTCACCTTGAAAATTACCCAAAAAACGAATCCCTAGTATAAATTGACTTCTCTAACGCCTACAACACTCTTTCGCGCAATACGTTCCTACATTCAACTTGCTTCCATTTCCCCGCTTATACCAAATTTCTTTTCTCTTGCTACCAATCACCAACAATCTTACAATTCAACAAAGAAAAGATACTTTCTGTCGAGGGTATCCAACAAGGTGACCCTCTCGGATCCCTTCTCTTTAGTCTTGGAATCAATGACATGATAAAATCAATAAACTCTTCATGTACTCTATCGCTCCACGCTTGGTATATTGATGATGGAATCTTGAGTGGTCCCAGTAGTGAAATTGCCAAAGCAGTCACCATAATTAAAGAAATGGGCACAGCCATTGGACTTTCGCTTAACCAGAGCAAATCTGAATTCTCACTTTTAAATTCTAATGCTCCCAACACTCACGATTTCAAATTCACATCAAGCGTTGAATTAACACATCTAGGATTGCTTGTTGGAGGACACGAGGCAGTAAGCACCTTTCTTCATTCCACACTTGACATACTCCTTAAACTGGAGGACATCTTTACACTTCTTCCATCACACAAGTCCTTTTTTTGCTAAAAAATTTCTTTTTTATACCAAGGATTCTTTACGCACTTCGGTCAACACCAATTTTTAAATATCCTATTCCTCTCCAAACTTACGAAAAAGGAATAAAGGACTTAACCGAAAAAATAGTAAATATCAGATTCAACGAAACCGCTTGGGCCCAAGCAACTCTTCCAACCAAATTTGGTGGTCTCGGCATCAGATCTCCACTTGACTTAGCAACAACTACTTTCTAATCGAGTAGTCTCTTGACAAAGCCAATAACCACCGCGCATAATTCTAAAGAAGACCTTTCCTTAATCGTGGCTATGGATATTTGGAAAACAAGGATCAATGCTGATTCTCATCCCCCCACAACCCATAAACAGAAAGACTGGGATGCACCAGTGGTTGCTCGCTGCGTTGAAACTCTCTTATCTAGCATGCAATCTACCGACCGCCCCTATTCTCTTCCTTGCTCAATGGTACGGGACATGAGTTTCTTGAGGCCATCCCATCTACCAATCTTCAGCTTCAACTATCCAACAATGAATTTACCCATGCCATCGGCATTCGTCTAAATTGTTCCATCACTCACCCCCACATCTGCTCAGGGTGCAACTCACCAGTTGACTCGAAGGGTAGATATAGTTTACATTGTCGCTCCTGCAATGGACGATTCATAGGACACAAGCAATGTAATACAATCATCCAACATGCTCTGAAATCAGCCCAAATTCCTTCCACGTTAGAACCACAGGGTCTTTTTAGATCTGACGGTAAACGTCCTGATGGGATCTCTCAAATCCCATGGAAGAGAGGCCAACTTTTGGTATGGGACTATTCCTGTATTGACCCCTTGGCCCCATCCAACCACGCCATCAACATCCTTGACCAGAAGGAACAACTTAAAATTTCTAAATACACAGAAATAATAAACGATCATTGCTTCATCCCAATCATATCAACCACTCTTGGCACCTTCGGCAAACTCGCCTTAGCATTTTTCAAAAACTTAGGATCACAAATCAGCAAACTCTCAGAAGAACCTCGAGAGGGTTTTTTTCTTCGTCAACGATTATCCATAGCGATTCACAAAGCTAATTATATCAGTTTCAATGGTAGCCTTCTAGCCAAAGAGCTATCATAGACAACGCTTACGTTCCTTTTTCATTTTTGTTTCCCTGCGTCACACCATCTCCGTTCTTTTTTTTAAATAGTTTTATTATATATTTTTCAAACATTTTAAAATATATTAAAATTTATTATAATGAAAATTTAAATAGTTTTTGAATTTAAAAACTGATTTTTACTGGAAATGTATTCCATCAAGTTTGGAATACATACCCTATGAAATTCAGATAATTATGTCATGAACTTTTGAATTTAATATAATCTATATTAATTTTCTTCATATAAATTATAAGTTATTCAAAAGTTATCGGTAAAATTATCTCTAATTTATAAAATAGGTATTCCAAACATGCTGGAATACATTTTCGGTAAAATCAAAATTGAAAATATCGCGCTCAAAAATCGATTTAAAATTGAAAAATTAACACATTGCTGGAAAAGACACATTGACGCTAACATATATACTACCTGATTCGATTCATTATTTATAAGTGTCCGTATATACATACATAGGAGATATCTGTTGCGCCATTTTGAGGTTTGCACTTTGACTAATTATCTTTATTTATCATTATGACGTTCAAACCATAAAATAGTGCTACAGCTGGCTCCTATATATGGACACTTAAATTAATGAAAGAATCGTCAATCTAGTAGTATATATATATACCTATGATTTTGTGCATGCCCTATCTATTATTTTAAAATTACCACCCATGCCTAGGTTAATGTCAAAAACCATAAATAGTCCATACTAGCAGTCTTTTATGTTTTTTTAAATATATTATTTTCCAAATAATTATTGAGTTATGTTGTACCATCACGTAAGTTTTTTTAAATTAAAATCGTTTTTTTTAAAAATATATTCACAAAAATATTTAATTTTTGTTTTTAAATTTAAAATTTTTTTGTTTCTAGCCCCTACTTCTCGTATAAAAAATACTATATATTTTTTTGGCTTAAAATTTACTATCTTCATCGTCATGTTCTTCTCCGCCCTCATCGTCTTCGAAGGATTGTCGCGTACTATCATCATCTTCAGAAGAGCTAGGTTTTAGGTCGGCGGGAAGGCTCATAATGCCGCCCACGTTAACTAATCTGTTATTTTAAAAAATAAAATAAAAGTAAAACATCCTTAAGACATCAGCGAATGGTGGATTTAAGATAATATGAATCTCTCAATTAGTCAATTCATTTGAGAATTAAGATCTTTTTAAAAATATTTTAAAAAACAAAAATATTAAGAAAAAAAATGCTTACGAATAATTTCCAATAATCACGATCATAATGGGAGAAAGATTCAACCACAAATATCATTTTAACTTCTAGTAAATGAACACTAGATTGTCTTTTTCTAAAATTTTAGGCCCGATCCTGTCTTTAAAAAATCATACCAGCATATATCTTATAGATATTAATTTTTAATTAATTTATGTCTAATTTTTTTTAGTAAACTAGCAATAATAAGAACATTTAAACCTTCACATTTTTTGATAAAAAAATTCCTTAAGTTACAAAAAATTAAGTAATTCTCTGAGATAAATGTAAGAAGATTAATTTAAGAGTAAAAAAAATAATTTTTTGGCCACATAATTAAAATCAATCAATCTATTCAAATAAAACAAACATTACAAAGGACGAAAAATCCAATCGTGATTTGAAAATATCTTTTATTTTTGTCAAAATATGTTATTCCTTGCCAAATGACTTACTATCAATAAACTCATAGATAATTATTTATGTGAATAAAATTTAAATTTTTAAGATAAAAACAAAACAGTTCATTTTAAACGTACCATATATTTTTATAAATTTAGTTTCATGAACTAAAATGGCAGTTATGTTTTGTTCAATATATTTATATTGGAATATTTATATTGGAATATTTTTATAAGTATTTTTAATATGGTTTTAAGAGGGATCAAATATAAGGGGTCAAGATAATGATGTGACCATTTTTGGAGGACTTGCCCTAATTTAAAAAAAATGGTATTATAGAAAATAATTGAGATAATTTGAATTGAACATGATAAGGTGTGAGGCACATTTCAAAGTATAGAGGGAGTGGATGGATGAATTGATGCTAAGTTTTACAAAAAATGTAAATTTTTCGATAAATAGCATTAATATATCTTATCTTATCTTAATCTTTAAAATAAAAAATATCATTTTTTCTATTCAAATGAAATATAAATAAGTAATGTTTAGTGCTTGCGTGAATATCAATATTTCGCAGAAATGGTTTTGGAATATTGCCTTCGCTCTATTTCTCTGCGATAAACGACATTCACGGTAAAATGGGGAAAAAGTGTTTCGCTGAATTGACCTGATACGCTATAAAATAGTTTATGATAAGTTTGCGGAACGTGGCCAAACAACATGAATAAATAAGATCTAACCCCAATGAAAACTTCTGGGAAAATAAGAAAATTAATGTCTTGTGTACATAGGATGAGAAGTTTTATCAGGAAAAATATAATAAATACAGAATAATTTTATGATCCGAGAAGCTGCAAAATTATTAAATTTAAGATATTCAGGCAAGCTTTTGTAAAATAATTAGAAATGCTCCTATCCAAACCCCAGTCAAATCCAAATTTAAGAGATTATCTTTGAGAGTGATAAAACAATATCTTTTGCGTGGCTCATCAATCGTAATTGCAAACATGAAGACAGATGTCATGATTAATGGAGAAACCCCAGAAAAAATCAATTAAATATTTAAAATATTTATTAATATATTTCTAAAAACTTCATTGAAAACGTTAATTTTATCATTTAAAAAAAAGGAAAAAAGAGGTGTAAAAATTGTTGGTAAATATAAAATTTTTTTTAGAAGAAAATAATCTAGGTGTAATTTGTTTTAAAATATCGTACAATCCTGAAGCAGAAAATTCTTTATTCGGGGATAAGGGTGAAAAAGTGATTGTATTCAATTCAGGTTTTAACCTATATTGTAATTATAAATAAATATTACGATGAGGTTAGTTCGTCTGGATCCAAATCACCGCTGAGCTCCATATCGTAGGGAAATGGAGTTTTTGGCTCGTCAACCTTCATGTGGCCGTAATCTTTTCCGTCGGGATGATGAGTCGCCAAGATATTCATTTCATCCCATTTTATGTCCTCTTTTAAACTAATGTGTAATATTTTTAAAGAAATATATGTTACCCTTAAGCATTAAATATTGGCAAATAAGTTATCAAAGTTTAGAATAAACTTTTATAAAAAAAAATAGGCTCCTATCGAAGAAGAGCCTTGTACCTGCCTATTCGAGTGCGGTGATTCTAAAAGTCTTGATTTTTAAAAATAGCTAACCCAATATCTTAGCCAAAAATATTACGTAAGCCTGAAGATCTTGCTCATAGATGTTGCGTAATATTATTTTTGCTAAAATCTTAATTTAAAAGTGGCCAAATCGAGCCGTTTAACAATACTAGTCTGATGGATTGTGCTCCGCTAGATTCAGAATCTAGAACGGTTCCCAAAACTCATAAACACAAATATAATCGGCTTATATGGTTCTCCGATTTTCGTGTTTAAAGTTATGATCTCTCAAGAGATAAAAAAACGTCATGAAATAGCTATAACACAAAATAAAAGATAAATAGACTAATTATGGATAGATGTAAAATCAAAATTATTATAAAATATTTGTAATTCTCCTCTAAGTGTTTCTCTCTTACACCTATCAGTTACTGCAGAATATTCCCACCTTTTTGAATCCACAAAAATATATATGAGAGTTATATAATGTTAGTTAATAGTTAGTATTCAAACGAAATCTTTGTTCTTTACCTTTTAAATTAGAGGGATGAGAAATTCAGCATAATATTAAATAATTTTTTACGAGGAAACCAGGGATTTGGAATGGAACATTCCGGACACGTAATTTGGGGAAAGTTATGGAACTTTATGGTAGGTTCGGGAACTTCCCGGAAAAAAAGGAATACGAAAAATTTATTTTAAATTATTACATAATTATATATATATATTCAAATAATGGTTAATAATTTTTACTTCAAGTAATTACCAGGGACGTGGAACGGAAACTTCTGGAAACGGAACTTGGGTAAAATTATGTAACGTGAGGAATGGATACATAATGGTTAGATAATAAGTATTCATTTTTTCATTTTATTAATTCCAGTTTGCTCCACATATAAATATTATTAAATCCATTATTTATCATTATGTAATTTTAAGAATTAGATTATAATTTATCATATTAGAAATGATTTTAATTGTTTTAAATCATAAAATTAATGTTGTATAATAAAAGTTTTAAATGTCAATAGATATTATTTGGGGCAAATATATGTGACGCAATGTTTATCAAAATGCAATAAGACCCGTTCATTTTTTAGATATATGTTAACGGAATCAGGTGGTCGAGTCCGATCTACTGTATATCCCCCAAAAAGGAACCATCTAGTTGGCTTTAGAAAAAAAACATGGTCAGTGCTGGATTCGAACCCAGAACTCTCGGATTGTGATACACATACTTAGCAGATTAAGTCAAAGACTATACTCGAAAGTATTATAAACAAAATTACAACACTATCTAATATTTTAATAAAATACATAAAAAATCAATAATGTTCAACGCTATACATCATTACCCTAATATTTGTTACCAAATAAATGTTGAGAGGTTTTTCGACACTCAAGTTAAATTATATTAACACGACCGTGCAAATATAAATGATAATTTTTAATTAAATGTCTTAATTAATGCTATATAGTGTAAAATTATTATTTAAATTAAAGTAGAAATAAAATTTGATATTTTTATAATGTGTTTCGGAAAGTTTACGAAATATATGGAACGGAGTATTTTTTTTGGCAGGAACGAAAATGAAACAGGCATGAAAAAGTATCTTTATCTCGAACTCACGGACTATTACTCATTATTAGATATGATATAATTTAAAGATTATACTGTTTATAAAAATAATATTATAATATAAAATGAAATGAAATGAGGACTTTACGGATGTTTAGTTACATAATTATTAATAATGAGGTGGATTATGAGATGTTCAAATACGAGAAAATGATAAATTATATTTGGTCAGCTGGCAAATTATTAATCGTACAATTGAAATAAACTTTCCAATCATTTTTCGTTAGATTTTATTTTGTTATTATTGTGAGTAGGTTTAAAGATCTATATTATAAAAAATAAACTTATCTAATTAGAGCATTCGTACCATGACTTTTGCTCAAATCAGACAAGTGCCAAAATTATCAGTAGATTGTCACCTATTTTTTTTTGTAAAAAAAAGGAATTATTAAATATCTTCAGATATTGTCTAGTGAAAATCAATAGGAAGTTTTTAAGGACAACAAAAAAACTGTAGAGCCTATTAGGTAAGTTTTACCGTGACTAGTATGATGTAAACCTATTCAAAAAATGAATCCTGGTATTAATGTTTCTAGTATTCATAGGAATAATAAAATTTACCTATTCGTATTCGATTAATTCGTTTATAATTATAAGAAAATATATTGACAACTTTTTTGCATTTAATAAGGCTGTGTGTGCAGATCTATAAAATTTTCACCGCTTCGACCAGATATTTTTCAATATTTCATACAAACCCGATTTGATAACCGATACCGATATGATCTTTAGTTTGATTTTTTTATTTGCCTTTGAACCAATATCATAAAAAAATCAATACTTTCAACTAACTGAGAACTGGGCAAAACAAGAAATATTTTTAAATTTTCCGCCTATAATGGCCAAGGCGATATTTGGATGATTTTCACAAACGATCAGGTGTATTTTATTTTTTATTCCGCAAAATTTAATCATCTCATTATAAAATATGGATACATTGTTATGGCTGCTGAATATAATTCGTAAATACCTTTTACATCCTTTTCTAGCTGCAAACAGTGTTGTTAACTTCAGGCTTGCGTAATATATATTTAGTTAGCCCTTTTTTCAAATCGACTCAAATCGTTAAAGAAAATAGTAAAAAAAACTACAAAAGACACTAGTCGAAAATAATAACATAAAATAATATCCCATCTTTATCTACATTTTATTTCAAATAATTCGATAAATTGAATTTCTGGTTCCTTTTATTCATTTATATATTATTATTAGGAATATATAATATAATTATACATACATAAGAATATTATAAAATAAATCACAACAACAATAATTTTAGATCAGTGCAGTTAATTGCTAGGCAATCATTTATCAAACAAAATATATTTATTTTAATATTAATTTATTACCTCTAATGTAAGGGAAATGAAATATTGATTTTCGCAAGATATTTGTAATAATACTCAAAAAAGGAGAATAATAATAAAAGGTTTCAAAATAAGGCAAGGAAATTATGAAATAAATAAATGTATAGTACATTCTCAGATACCTTTACTATGTAGGTGAAGGAAGGTATAACGCAACGCATGATCGTGGAGAGGGGGTGGTGAAGATACTATCGCTATTAGAATAAATGGTGAGGGAGTAATGACTGTAAAAGGATTAAGGGGCATCCGAGAAAATATTAAGGTCATATTTTCTCCCCATTCTTCTTCTTTCTGCCTGATAGAATTACACGGAAATATTTAATATTCATTTATATGTTAAATTTTGTATTAAATAGAATAAAATAGACAATCATCATTAAATTATAAAAGTTATTGCTGAATATTATTTATTTAAATAAATATTTAGAGTTTTTCATATATCGTCGCCTTAAAATTAGATTCCATCTCCATTTTATGTAATTTTAAAGGAGCGCAATTTTAAAAATTAAGTTTCTATTGTTTTCAATAGGACGGTTAACCTTATTGGCTATAATTTAAATTATATCATAAATATTTCGGATTATTTTTATGTAAACAAAACAGAACTGTATAATTATAAAATTCGTTTAGGTAAATAAAATCATCTTTGACAAATAGTGGATGTAGAGTAACCTGCATTTATAAAAATTCTGGAAAATATAGTTACCGGACCAAGGGCAAGCACATGCCAAAAATAATCGATTTTGCATGTCTCTAGGAGGTGTGCTATTTCTTCTTTTTGCTAATTTAGATCAGAATTTTCTTTTATTGCTAATTTAAGAGGGAGTAAGTGTAGGGTGGAGGTAATATCTACATTGACTATGGGGGGAGGAAAAAAGTGCCTTACTTTATTATTTCAAATAAATTTGAAAATAATAAAATTTCAAAATTTATTCAATTTTTGGCCCAAGATGGCGAAAAATGGGATATATCTTATAAGATAATCATTTTATTTTTAAAAACGAGTATTTATAAAAGTGAAACCGAGATGATATAGAATTATAATAAAAAAATAGATTCCAGGGAGATTTTTGTTTGTTGTGCTATTATGTTTATAGAATATATTTTGCAGAATCTGTAACATTTTAAGCTCATATCCTCTATGTCATTTAACAATTTTTGAAGGAAAGTAAAAGAGGGCATTTTTAGCAACTCTCATACACATATCCCTATATTTCTAAAATATATGAGCATCATATTGGAAATAAAAAATGTATTATAAAAAAACTTTTAAAAAGGTAATAAAATAATTATATAATAATATTTTTTTATTTCAAATATTTATAGAATTCCGCTAGAATTTGAATGATTCATAATAAATCAAAATATGAAAAATAGATTTAAATTTCCAAGGTAACCATTTAATAAAAAGTAAAAATTAAATGAATATTTGATATAAAAAATAATGTTATGTTCATGATTAATATCTTTATTATGAAATATAAGTTATATAGAATAGATAATGTGTGCTGGATCACAAAATCATTTATAACAATATTTCTAATAAAATATTTAAGATGTTGCCTCAAGTTTACAAGATGCAATAGAGGGTTAATTAAGTTAAAAAAAATTAATAGTGCTACTATAAAAATCAAATTTTAAAAAAGTATCAAAGTCAGAGACCTGCACCCAGCCTGGGTACTCAGGCTGAGGCGTATTTTAGTTTTTTTAAATCCAAGCTAGGCCTAAAAAATATTTTTTACTGGGCAGGGCTGCAGAAATTTTTCTTACAAAATACCTGAGCTGTATATTTTAAAACCAAATATTTTAAATCGCCATTAGATAAATAAAGTAAAAATAAAATATTTTAAAAAAATCTGGGCCAGGCCTGAAAATATAAAATCCAGGTCAGGTCGAAAAAAAATTTTAAATAAAAAATCCAGTCCTATCTAAAACAATTTAAAAATATCTTGGCCATGCCAAGCAAACATCTGCAGATCTCTGATCTAAGTATTTAAATACTTTTTTCTTAAATTTTTTGTAGGTATTTTGCATTTATTTAAAATACATTTTTTTGAGAATTTGCCCAACCCTGAAAATAATATGGTACGAGACTATAATATTAGTTTTAAATATTAAATTCATCATGTGTAAGGTATTTTATTTTGCAAAGGCCTACAGACCCAATCATAATATTTTTTTAAAAAAAACCTGAGCCAGTAGGTAAGGTCTTAAATTTTATATAACTTGGGCAGGGCCAATATAAATTTTAATGAAATAATCAATAGAAAAATCATATTATAGAACATTTAATATTCATTATTGATCATGTTCTCAAATTTGTTTGAAACAATATACAATATTTATTCTAAAAATTCTGGGCAGGCCTTAAGATAACTATAAAAATCTGGCAAAGGTCAGGATTAATATTTAAAATACAAGACCAGACTTAAAAATTTTTTTTTTCTCAAATCTAAGTTTGCATAAAATGCTGAGACTTGTAATTCTGAGAATAATAAAAAATTTTATATTATGCAAAAATATAAGGTAAAATGACTATGTGCTAGTGTTGTTAAATGGCTCATCTTGAGCCTTTAAAAATGGCTAGCTCAATATTTTAGCCAGAAAAATATTGCCTAAGCTTCAAGATTTCACTATTAGATGTTTAGACCTTCAGGCCATCTATGAGCAAAATCTTGAGGCTTGCGTAATATTCATCTAAGTAAATAAAAATTGGCTCAAATAGAGCCGTTTAACAACACTACTATGTGCTCAATGGTTATCAGAGACTTGCTGGCTCTGCCAAGAATGGGGCAAGAAATTTTATGCATTTAATATTAGAAGACACACCAAATTTTACAAATAAATTTTAATTATATTGATTAATTAGTTGGAAATTATATAATAAAACATTTTATATTCATTTACTGTTCATATTTTCATTCCCTTTAAATAACTTGCAACCCCAAAATCATTTAAAATTTTAAGAATTCCAAGCCAGGTCAAAAATTATTTAAATATCTGCCAAGTGAAAATATTTTTAAAAAATCTTAGGCCAGGCTTGAATATTTTCTGAAAACTTTTATCAGGTTGGATTTGAAAATAGATTTTTTTTTCAGACCAAGTTGGGCCTAAAATTTTGACTTCTGCAGATCTATGATAATTCAAAACATATTGATCAGAAAAATTATAAATTTTATAATAATTAACATAAGTTAATTCAAAAAATTATTTTAGTTTTTATGATAATGAAAAGATAATCTTTAAAAATTATATATCAGTATTGCATCAAGATAAATTATTACAACTCAAAATTCACAAATAGTGATTTAAAAATTGATAATAATAAAATCATTCAATACTTTTATTTTTTATTTAAAAATGAGTGAATCATATAAATTTATTCAGGTTAAATTATAAAATAGGATTAGCTCACAATTTATATATAAAAGGCATATAAATATATTATTCATATATAATATCATTACCTTTCTTTACGTTCTGATTTGGATTCATCTATGCTAGCAGAACTTTTTAAAATACCCTTAGGAGCTTTTGATTTTCTAGAATTTTTATCTTCTCTTTTAGGACTTTTATCAGTCATTATTTCTACTTTGCAAAAAAAAATATATAGTGTATGAATACTATTAATGTTCCTTCTATAAAAAAAAATAATCAGTTTGACAGGTACGAATGGACATTATCTTCAAATATGAATTTACAGATAACAGGACCGTCCTAGGCATGTAAATAGCTTTTCTTAAATCTCGAGGCTTTGATAATGAGCTATTTTTAAAAATCGACCCAAATCGGGCAATTTAACAAAACTGACTATCCTGTCAAAATAATGTGGGGTTCATCGCAATAGTACTCCTAAATTTCATAACCCAATAAGAGATAATCTAAGTGCAGCTCTGCTATTTTGTGTAGCGAAAAGAGCGATGCGCTTATATAAATTGTATTTTAGATTTGTTTAATTTTAGGATTATTTATAATTACCTTCAATAAGATTTCTAAAGTAGAGATGATTATTAATCTTTGAGATTTTTATTTTTGGCAGGAATATTTATAATTATTTTCATTTATTTTTTTAAATAGTTAATTTAATTTTTATATATATACTTTAATAGACATCATTTGTAAGAACTGTGCTTAAAATTAAACTTTGTGGTCCAAGCTAAGAACTTATAAAGACTGAAAAAAATCATTTTTTTATAACATGTGCCTAAATATTTATAAAAAATTTTGTTTAAAGAATTATTTATATTTTAAATTTCTAAACTTGATATATTATTAATTATTGAGATTTTAATTCTTGTCCTAAATTTTTATGATTATTTCTAAGACAAGGTTCATTATTTATTTTAATAGTTATTTTATTTTATATATATTGTTAACGTAGGGAGAAGAATAAAATTAAGAAAGTATTTTAAATTTTATTTTAATTAATTTAAAGCTTACAAAAATCAATTTATATAAGAAAATCTATTTAATAATTTATATTAACGAAAAATTAATTTTTATCAAACTATTGAGTTAATATTATAAAATGAGTCCGCAAAGTTAGTATTAAGTTAATATATAACAAAAAAGAAATATATATATAAAAAAAATTAATCAGGTCATTTCAACATATATCACAAACCCATAGATTTTATCTTGGGACTATGCTATAAAATAAAGGTTTGTGGTCAAGCTACAGTGAAATATGTTATTATTAAATATGAAACAAAAGAGGTTAAACAAAAATTTATAAAATATTAGACTTAAAAAAAGAAAAGCAATTAAATAAGCTTTAACTTAATGTTTAAATATTGCAATAGAAATTATATTGGAAATTTAATAGTCAAGATTAAAAACGAAATGAATTTTCATAAAAATTATCATTTTATATTTCAATAAGAATTAAAGATTATACAGAGTAGGTTTTAAGCACTAATAATTATAAATAGGTTTTAAAACTTGAATTTCATTTAATTTTGTTCTATAATAGTCAATGATAATTTAGACAATTTGGCGCTCCTTCAGTAGGAATTAAAGAGAATATTTTTTCGTTTATTTTATTATAAAACTTATTATTTTTAAAATTAGTTTATACCATAAAAACTCTTTGCTCAAGCATATAAAAGCGAACCAAAATATTTAAAAGGGATTTATTTGTCATAATCAGAAACGATCGAGCAAGTTTTATATTTCGTCGGCTGAGAATTATAGTGTTTTATGTGCACATTTTTACAAAATAAATTTTTTTTCGATAAATCAATTCGTCAATAGTGTATTCGTACAAAACAGCAATAAAAATATTAAAATATAATTTAGAATAATCCTTTATTTGCACTGTTATAGTGGTATCTTATATTTAATATATACAATATACATTATTTTTAAAATGCTCTCAAAAAAATATTAAAAAATGGATATAGAACACAATAATACCCAGCCGACGCTTTATATAATAACATTTAGTTATTAATTATTAAAATAAACAAGAGTTATATATTAAATAAGTATCATTTTTATATTTATATTATTTTATTTTTTTTAAAAACACGAATGTATTAATACTATATCTAATATTATTTAGAATTAACTATTTTACATTCATTTTAAATTATTTAAATACAATATTTTAGATAACAAACGCATTTGGAAGAAAAAAAACTAATATTCTCCAAAAATGATAAATAGTTGTGTAAAATTTAAGTAGAAAGAAGTCACTTTTTTTATTTAAGATTTATCACAGTTTTTGATAGCGAGGTAGATAAATTTCTTTTATGTTTTTTGACCTCTGACTCATTAGTAACTGCCAAGGTTTTGTGAACAACATATTTAGGCTGGTTAAAATTGTTTGGTAATACATCACATATTTGTTGTATACTGTTGGAGCCAATGATATATATCATTGGTTGGAGCCCTTCGCATTGGTATGATTGCTGCCAATATATTTTCCATTTAATTGTCGATATTCATTTTGACTAAACGACTCGCTCGTATTATTTTCACTTAGCTCAGAAAACATTTTTAAAAATAAACGTTGGCAAATAAAGCTAAAGGCGGTATGTCAAAAAAAAGTAGTGAGCAAATCGGAGGCGAAGGAGAAAATAATAAAACAAATTGAGTTGGCTCCAATCATTGGCTCCAATAGAGAAAAATATATTCACGAGATTATGATTGACGAATAATATTATGCAGAGTTGTTAAACGCTACTTTTAAAAGTAGCGCGCTATCGCTATCGCTATTTGTCAAAAAAAGTAGCGCGCTACCTCTATCGCTATTTGTCAAAAAAATATAGCTCGCTATAAGTTACTATTTTTTAAAAGTAGCTTTAGCTACCTTTTTAGCTACTTTTTATAAAAAAAAACTTACAAACAAATTTTTTATTTTTTTCTTATAATGTTTTTACATAGTAAATATATAAAAATCAACATTTATAAATATTAAAATATAGTTTTGATTATAAAAAAATTTATGTAATAAAAATAAATATTTATGGTAATTTGTTGCATTTTAATAATAAAATCATTTCAATATTATCATTCCCAAGTCTAGAGCGACGATCAGAAAGTATAAGTTTTGCCTTACTAAATAATCTCTCGACACTAGCACTTGGGGGTAAGGCGTATTTAATCTTATATACACATTTTTAATATAAGATAGATTATCAATAATTTTATTTGCAAGTACATCGTATGTCTCGCATCCTATTATCATTTTGAGGGCTAATGCCACAGATATTCTTTTTAAAGTCTTAGGGGTCTAGCCAATGGCCTGTGATTCCCAAATAATCTCAAAAATATTTAATCAGATCAATTTATAAATATAAATAAGTTTTTACCTTCTGTTATGTATCCAACTATCAGCCGTGGTATATATATATGATATCTCTGATAACTCTACTATTAGAGCATCTTTCTTCATTTTAAAGTTCTGCTATTTTATTAGTGTCTGGCGGCATAAAATTGTTGTACTAGGGGGATAGAGTTTTAAACATCATGGCAAATGATGGATTATCAGCCAAGGACATTGACTGAACTGTATAAATTATAAAATCAACAATAACTTCATCAGCCAATTTCTGAGAAATATGTCATTTGCATTATTAATTAATTTGGTTTGAATTGAATTAGTCTTTTTGGATGTAGAGTCGCCTATACCATAATTATTTAGATGTTTCTTTATTTCCTTAAAATTATTGGCATAAACAGTCTTATAAAATAAATATTATAAGAATGTAAAAAGGGCAACTTACCTTTAGGTGTTTCTTGAGGTTATAGCTACTGGATTGATTTGAGGAAATATTTTTTTTATATTTTAATAAAATAAATTTGAAGTCAGTTTTGGATTATATATTTATTTTAAAAAAAATTCAAATCTAGGGAATGGAAAATTTGTATTATAGCTATTAAGAACATCTTCTTCCCTGGTATCTTCCATTTCATTAATATCATTGTATGAATCACTTTCAACGATTTGGACATCCATAGGCGATGACATTTTAAATTATTAACACGTGATTTAGGTTTATAATACAAATGGAAATATAAATTAAAAATTGAAAATATATTTCAATTTCAAAATTAAATAATAAATCATAAAAATTATAATTAATTATGATATAATATTTAAATTTTCATGTTTATACTTACCTTCATTATATTTTTTATATCAAAAAAAGTAGCGCGCTAAAAAATTAAATAATTACAAATAAAGTAGCCGCTATTAGCTATAGCTACCAAAAAAAGTTAGCGCGCTAAGTAGCGCGCTACCAACTCTGATATTATGCGAAGAAAATATTCCTTTATAAAATGTGGGGTGTCTTAAAAAGGACGATGATTTGCAAAGAATATATTTAGTGCTAAAATTTAATTTTAAAGGAGAAAGATATTCAATTTTTTTTTACCTTTAATTTTGGAATAAAAAAGAAAAGAAAATTGAAATTGTGATAAAGGAAATAATTTTTGGTGAGAAATTGAGTAAAATATAACAAAGAAATGGATTATTTTTTTTAAAAAAAATAATGAATTTAAGGTTAAATATTTTTCTTGGTCTAAAAAAAAGATGGAATATGAAAGAAAAGGATAATGTTTTAATTTATTATTTGGAGAAATTTTTTTAAATGAGTTGACGAATATCTAAAATAGTAGATTTTCCAAATGAAAGAAAAATAAATTTAGAAATTGATTTATGAGACTATTAAAGTAACTTAAAATTTTTGAAAGAGAGATATAACATATATTGACTATTGTGTTGATTATAATAAAAGAAGTGGAATTATTTAATTTTTAGATTTAATGAGTTAACAAATGAGCGGAGGAAATTTTAGGGGAGAATTCTAGGGGAGTAATCGGTGGAACTCAATAGGGAGTATTCCGGGGGACTTATTGGGGAGAAATCGGGGAAGGGTCTGTATGTTTGGTAGAATTTCAAAAGGAGAGATACAAAAGAGGTGTTTGAAATTTGCGTAAAAGTGTGAATATACTGGGATGAATTTTAAAAGAAGGAGACACAAAAGAGGTATTTAAAATTTGTGCAAAAATGTTAATAGTATAAATATTGGAAATTTTGACCTTAAAATATATGTAGAGGGCTTGAATATTTCTTAATATAACGGTAAATTTGTAGACAAAAGTGGTGAGGTTAATGGGATGAAGATCGACTATCATATGCGATGAATTATTCTGTATTACCAAAGAAAGAGCAGAAGAGGTGTTTTTTAAAAAAATAAAATCGAGAATTGGTTGTGAATTATGGGAAATATGGATCGATGAATACTACGGAGACAAGTCATTAACGTTTGGTACAGGAATATTCGTCCAAACTAGATGCTACTAAGAAAAATCGTTAATATTGACAATATCCGTTCAAACGCGATGAAGATTACGGAGGCAAATCATTAAAGTTGGTTCAAGATAACTATAATAGGATCATAAACGATGCAGTTAATACCTACTACTTCAGCGAAACTATTGGAATTTTGAAAAGGAAACCACTATACTATCAAAAATATGGGAAGGAAGATAAATTCATGTTGGTTCTTGTGAAATATTATGAAATTCTATATTATTCAGAATAAGGAATAGAATGGGGTAAGTTACAGAAAAAATATATATTCTTGAAAACTTTTTATCATATTTGATAATTGATAATAAAATAGTTTGGAATTAATGATAATTAGTAATAGAAATTCAAAGTTTATAAAACTGAATATATTACAAGATTGAGAGAAACCATGATGAATTACTAAAAGTATGTATATTCTAAAGTCACAACGGGGCGAACAATATTGGTGTCGAATGAGCTCAGTTATGGAGGGCGTGTCATATCATATTTTGAAAATTATTTTGTTTATTATTTATCATATTTATAAATAGTCGTCGGATTTTATATATCACGTGTAGAACTTGTGATTTCTTTGTCCCAAAAAATTATAAAAAAGACCAGATTTTTTAATTATAATGAATTTTTGTTTTTTTTTGTAGATATATATTTGTACAATAAAATTTGGAGTAGATATTAATATTAGTTTTTGGGTTTTGTTGGTAAATTGTATGAGTTATAAAATGTTTTACTACTGGTAATTTTATTTTATATAATTTTCACATATCAATTGTTTATAGGATCGATAACGTTTTCCTAAGAAAGTTATTATTATAAATGCCCCGGTTTTTCCTACTGATCTGATACTAAGAAATCAATATATCTGTAGTTAATTAGTTAAGTTTATTTTTCATAAATTAATTAATATTTGAAACCAAAAAATACAAAACGAAGTGCTCAGATTATCATAAACAAAGTTTAAAAAAATTGTGTGATATCTTTCCCAAATCTATTAACCTGGAATGGCGGCGAATATCTTGTATATAGCTAATATTTTTGTCCTAGATTTAACGGCATCACTACGAACGAATTGACGACCAACCCATACCCTATTTGGCCAGAATGAATCACTAAATTAAAATATTAAATTATGGGAATTTTAATGGTTAAATAAGGTATTAAAAATATATCGAATTCACCACGGTGCTCTTGAGATATTTTTAAATTAATAAAAAAAAAAGGAAATTCTTAAAATCAGCTTTTAAAAGAAACTCTATAAAAATTAAGAAAAAACTTTCTAAAATTAGGAAAAAAATATCTAAATAATTTTTTCTTAGCCAGTGCTAGAGCACTTGTTCGCACCCGCAACTGCTTATAAGTAGTATTACTATGACCAATTGGAATCCCGTCAACTTAATATTTAAAATTGAGTTAACTCTATAAATGGAGAAATGTTAGTGATTATATCTAAATCAAATTTAAAATAAAAATATTAAGCTATGATAGCTTTATAATAAAGAAAAATAATAACCGATTAGGTAAATTAGTATTTTTATAATATATAGAGGTATTATACTTTACTTAATCCTTATTATGTATGAGTTTGATAAAAGATTTCCTATGCTATAATTAATTCATTTTAAAAAAATATCCATGAATCTCAATTTTAATATAAATATTTTTTCATTGAAATACTAATATAGGCATAGTAATGGGTTTATGCACTGTTAAAAAATATTATCGATCTTCCCTCAAAGTGGTCTCGAGATGGCAAATAGAGGTTTAAAAATTCATTGTGGTCTGGAATTAGAATATGATCATCGCCTCCTAGATAGTGCAAAAGTCACCTAAATGGATCGATATGTAAAGATATCCGATTGTTAAAAACCTATTCATGATTATGACTAAACTAGTAGATAACCCGTCAAAAATAACGGGCCACCCAGATATTTCTCCTTATGAATAAATTTTACATCTTTATTTGTAGAATATTGTATGGTAGTTGGCATACCTTATTTTAGATAGCACATAGCTCTTCGATTTATTATTGCTCTACATAAATATTTGTTGATATGATATAAATAAAACTAAATTTTTGGTTCATACCTAGAGATGCTGACTAAAGATCAAAATATAAGAATATCTTTCATTGATCTACTAATTTTTTTGGCCATTTTAAATATTGCTTTTACTTTTTATACATTTTTTTTATTTTTTCTTTCAGGTAACAAATATTATAAATGGCGTAACATTTCAATCAATGGCCTTCATAGATTGGGTTCCATGGGGGACTGAATATACTATTTTCTAGTGAGTCTGAGGTTTTGGAAAATTTTTTTAATAATCTACAGTCGCTAACTTTAAAAACATTATATTCTTTCTTAATAATAATAAATAGTAGTATTGCCAACAATGATGCCTAAATAAACTGAAATATTGTTTGTTTTTATTTAATACAAAATTTTGATCTATCGGCCTGGCCACCACTCTAATTCGAGTTCAATTTCGAATTATGGTTCCTTTTCTTTTTAATAAATTTTCACTATTTTTTTTTTGTCCTTAAAATCTGGAAAAATAAAACTCATAATATTGGTAATCATATATACAAATAAAAGTATATAGTAAAATTTAAATCTTTCATTTGTTCCGTTTATTTTTAATAAATTTTCACTATTTCTTATATTTGTCCATAAAATCTGGAAAAATAAAGCCCATAATATTGGTAATCTCGTTCAAAATAAAAGTATATAGCAAAATTTAAATTTTACATTTGTTCCGTTTCTTTTTACTAAATTTTTACTATTTCTTACATTTGTCCTCTTTTTAATAAATGGGAAGTTACAAAGTTATCTCCGCAATCAAAATTCAAATCTTACATTTGTTCCTTTTCTTTTTAATAGATTTATATTATTTACATTTCATAAAATCAGGAAAAGGCCCTAAATCCTAATTTGAACTCGAATTTATCCGATTCTAAACTCAAATTTGTCGAGGCGGGTCGGTCGGGCGGATAGATCCAAAATTAAACATTAATGGTATATAGTCTCCTTAATTTTTATAACAAGATGATAGGAAAACACTTCCTGATTACGGAGATTATATAGATGTCTAATATATATAAAACAACCTTTAGTTAATTGAGTATTTTTTATTTAAACGAAATGAATATTTTAGATCACAGTTTTTTTACAAATTTAAATCTTATCACGGAACTATGAATAAAAACATTCACTAATTATTTATAATCTTGATAACAATTTCAGTATGCGATTTATAATAAAAAAATTTTTAGAGAGTGATTATTTGTGCCTAGAAGATGTCGATGAATGGCGAGAGGTAGACGCTTCGGATGAAGTGGAATGTGAAGAATTGGAGTGTGACGAACTGGAATGAGTCGAAGAATGATGTCGCGACGATTTTTTTTTACTACATTTTTTCTTTCTCCCTTCCGCTTCCTTTTTCTCTTCCATTTTTAATGCCTTCAAATCTTTTTCAGCCAGCTTCTTACCGAAAGCTAGCATTTTTCCTTCATTATAATGTTTTCGTCGAAATTTTCTGAATACTTCTTGGCCTGATGCAAAAAAAATTGATAAGTATTTTTTCGGAAAAAAAAGGTTGCATTAAATAGTAAAACTTAAATACTTTTATTAGATTGGTAGAGAGCTATAACGTGATTATAGTTATAAAATATATCATAATTGGTATAATATTATTTCTAAATTCAAAAATGATTGTCAAAAAAATTGAATTTTTTGCTTAATAATATATTATGAAATCTCGCAAGCAAAACACTGAAATTGAGGAAATTCATTACCAGACTATTTAATGTTACCATTATTATAGATGAATAAAAGGAGAAATAATATTTATAAATTATTAAAAGTAATCACACCTATATTTTAAAATAAATCAATGTTGTGGGTTATCAATCATTTTTGTATACTAACTACAACTAGTTTATTCGAGTCTCTTTTTGTCTTTAAGCTAACCGGTAAGAGTTAAGCTAATATATTTTATTAATTTGGTTTTTTTTATATAAATACTTTTTTTATCAGCTTCTAAAATTATCAAAGTATTTTTTAAATTTAATTTTAAAGAAATAGTTTTAAAATCTCTAATTCTATCTGTATCCTATGATTCCCCTCCAAAGTAGTTAATAATTTGAGAACCAGATAGCATGAAGTTCTTTTCAAATGGCTGCCCTGTAACAAAAGAAGATGGATTAAACAGATTCCAAATAATCAAGTGACAGCTTTATATTCTTTTATCACTATTTTCCTTCTTATTAAGGAACAAAAAATATTGCTTATAACCTGATTTTTCCGTTTTTAGCATATCTTTAATTCTTTAACTCAAAATCCCCCCCCCCCACTTAGTCATTTATTCCTACCTAACTAAGTCCCCTCCAATGATGTATATATACTACTAGATTGGTGATTCCTTAATTAAAAGTGTCCGTACATACATACATAGGTCAGCTGTAGCGCCATTTTGAGGTTAGCACTTTGATAAATTATCTTTATTTATCATTATGACGTGTAAACCATAAAATGGCACTACAGCTATCCTATGTATGGACATTTTTAGAATGAATCTTCAATCTAGTACTAAATATATACATCATTGACTCCCTCTTCCTAAACTATGATTTCGTGCAGCCCTATCTATAATTTAGGATAATGTTAAAAACCATAAATAGTCCATCTCGCACTTTTTTTTTTTAATATATTTTTTTTTCTCTAAATTTGTGCGTTATATTTTACTCTCATGTAGGTTTTTTTTAAATGTTAAAATATATTCACAAAAATATATAATTTTTGTTTTTTAAATTTAAAAATTTTATGTTTCCCAGCTCCTACTTCTCATATGAAAAATGATATATTTTTTTCGCTTGAAATTTACTATCGTCGTCATCGTCACCCTCATCGTCCTCCACGGATTGTTGCGTATTATCTTCATCTTCAGAAGAGCTAGGTTTTAGGTCGGCGGGAAGACTCATAATGCCTCCCACGTTAACTAAGCTGTTATTAAAAAATTGAAATATTACATTTAAAACATTATTAAGATCATCATCAAATGGTAGATTTATGATATGAATCCATCAATTAATCAATTTATTTGGGAATTTACATTTTTTTTAAAAAAATATTTCCAGAAACGAAAATATGAAGAAGAAAAATGTTAAAATAATCTTAAATAAAATTATATTAGAAGCATATTGAATGCTCACGAACAATTTCCAATAATTGCGAGCATAAAAGGGAATAACCAATATCATCTTATCTCTTATGAAATCATCACTAGATTGTTTTTTTATTTTTAATAGTAGATTCGACGGCTTCAAAGAATCATATTATTTTACTCTTTGTCATTGGCCCACATTAATAATTTTATAACGCATCCGAAAAGCTGCAAAATTAGTAAAAATTTATTCAAGTAAATTTTTGTAAAATAATTAGAAATGCTCCTACCCAAGACTAAAGGTTCACAAGCAGTCAAGTCCAAATTTAATAGATTATCTTTGAGTTATAAAACAATATCTTTTGCTTTGCTCATCAGACATAATTGCAAAAATGAAGACAGATATAATGTGCATTGGGTATAAGTCTAAACCTCTCATTTGAAGGCAATTGTGTAAAACCCCATTTAAAATCTCAATTTAAAATATTTTATAATATATTTCCAAAAACTTAAGAAAACACTTAATAGTTTTACCATTTTTTGAAAAAAAAGAGATGTAAAAATTGTTGGTAAAAATAAATATTTTTTTAAAAGTAAATAATTTAGGTGTTAATTCTTTTAAAATATCGTCCAATCCTGAAGCAGTAAATTATTTATTCGGGAATAAAGGGGAAGGGGGGGGGGGGGGGTGAAAAAAAATAACTGTATTAAATAAGACGCATTTCAGGTTTTAACTATATTGAAATTATAAGTAAATATTACGATGTGGTAAGTTCGCCTGGATCTAAATCGCCACTGAGCTCCATATCGTAAGGAAATGGAGTTTTGGGTTCGTCAACCTTCATATGACCATAATCTTTTCCGATGGGATGAAGAGTGGCCAAAATGCTTATCTCATCCCATTTTATGTCCTCTTTTAAACTAATGTGCAAGATTTTAAAAGAAATATATAATTTATCTTTAAAGTATTAAATCTTGGCAAATAAAATAAGCTATCAAATAAGATTATAAAATAAATTTTTATTTAAAAAATTAGGCTTCTATCGAAGAGCCTTGTACCTGCCTATTCGAGTGCGGTAGGTCTGAAGTAGTGTTTCTAAATGGCTTGATTTTTAAAAACAGCTAGCCCAATATCTTAGCCAAAAATATTATGCAAGCCTGGCTCATAGATGTTGCGTAATATTATTTTGGCTAAAATCTTAATTTAAAAGTGGCAAAATCGACGTTTAACAATATTATCTGATGTCAGATTGTACTCCGCTGGATTCAGAATCTAGAACGGTTCCCAAAACTCATAAACTCAAGTATGATCGGTTTATAAGGTTATACTCTAAAATATTATTGGTGAATAAATATTTTGATATAATTAACTAGTATGCATTAAAAGAATGGTTATCAATATTATTAGCTTACAACTATTTAAAAATATATTTGTATCATGAAGGAATCGTTTTAATTATAATTTTATATTAAAATTTAAAAATTTTATTTTAAAATATAATAATTTAGCTAAGTCATGATTTTTACATATTTGATTTTTAGCGCTTTTGCCCTGATGTTGCAGGTTCAACAGAGCTTAGGTAGGTATTACTCATTTTCATCTAATTGGAACTAAAATTAATTTGGGTGGAAAAGTTAAATATGAGGAGTCCTCTACACGTTTGTGGACAAGCCGTACTACTTGTAGGCGCAACATTTCAAAAAATTTTGCTTAAAAATCTATAGGCTTAATAAAAAAAGAAAGGGGCAAAGAGCCAAACCCAAAAACTATAGTATAATTTAATTACTTTTAGGGTGGGAGGGCGGGGGTAGATAAATAAAGAATGTTAATTTTTTAATAAATTTAAATTTTATTAACATTTAGCAGAGTATAAATTGTATTAATTATCATTTATTTTACTTCCATTTGCTGCATTTGAATTTATAAATTAATTTTCTTTTTAGTTGTTCTGGTCAGATTTTGGTAAAAAGTTATATTATATTTTATATAATATTAAGCCTAAGTATTGAAATAATTGGTCGATAATTATAAAATAATTAAGATTGATTAACTTTACATTACTATCAAAATCTTTTATAGTTGAATTTTAATATATTAGGGATTATGGTCAAATCAAAGCATCATGGAAACATTTTCAAGAAGTACGCGATGGTAAATCAGTTAAAGAGGTATGGAGGTTTTGCAAGATGACCTATATTACCCACGTTGATAGAATGATCATGAATTTATTAAGCAGCTGTACTATGTGCCCTGTCATAATTAAGAAAAATTTTAATCAAATTTCAAAATATCAACCTCGACATAAAATCACTCAAATGCAATTTGTAATACTTCTAGCTCTGATGAAGAATTGGGTGAAAAGCGAGAATAATAATCAAATTGACATAATTTTGCCTTATGATTCAGGAGAATCTGATTTCATTATCTCTGATCAATCTACAAGCAAGGCGATCAAATATAAATCTCAATCTTGTATAACCGATTTCATAGATAGAATAAATCCCAAAGAAAAAAATGAGCTAGATCAATTGTTTATAAAGGCTGTATATGCGAGCAATTTACCTTTCCAAATCACTGAAAATATCCCTACATTCAATAATATAAAAAAAAAATACGTCCTGTCAAGCGAAGGCAATTGGCTAGATATATTTTAGACACATCAGGAGATATGGAGGCGAGAGTTGCAGATAAAATAGATAAAGCTCCTGAGCAAATTCAGAAATGAGAGTATTATTAATTTTATGGTAATGACGTCTGTTCCAGTATTCTACAAATTTTTAAATACTGAGGAAAATCTACAAGAGGCAAATTATATTGCCCAGGAATTTAAAAATGTAATACATGAATTGAATCCGGTAAAAGCATAGGCGTAGCCAGGGGGAGGGACAAGGGGAAATTCCCCCTCCTTCAGAAATTTATCACTTTTTGTAAATATCATTTTTAGCTAATAAAAAATATCCCCCTTAGTCCTCCCCCCACTCCCTGACCCTCAAATATGTATGCATATTAAATAATAATTTAAAAGAAAGAATGTAAAAGTTGATATTTTATAAAACTATTCATCATAATTTATCGATTTTTGGGAAAATAAATTTATAAATATATAAAATGAACCAAAAATGTTTTTTAATAAATGGAATATAAGCCAAAGATAAGTCTTAAGACAGAAGTGAAATGTATTATAATTATTAATAATAGATCCATAAAATTAATAAATAATATAATATACCAAATATAATTTTTTTATAAAGTGAGTAATTTTAATTTATTAATCTTAATAAAAGTTAAATATAATTTTAAAACTATTGATAAAATTAAATCATAAATTAAAAAATATTAAAGCACAATACAAACAGTGGAATATTATATGTCGTAGATTTACAGTATATCTAATTATCAAATGACAATCAAGTAATTTTTACCTATATAGCGAATAATCTATTTTACAGATAACTATAAAATATTGATAAGGACATCAGAAAATATCTTTTAAAGACATTGTGGGATGAATAATATGAAAATTAAATTTAATCATTTTTCTTATAATAAAGATGGCGTTAAATAATTGAATGCAAATTGTTGCATATTTAATATCAAGAGCATTGATTAGTAAAATTTGTTAAATTATTAACTGTAATATATTCTCTAACTGTCAAATATGTCTGTAAAAGTGGAATTTTACCTAGTATTTTATAACTAATTCTATATAGTAAAATCAACCATATGTCTACTTACTTATAATTGTTTGGAATAAATTATTACCATGCTTTTATATTAAGGTATATATAATACAAGTAATTTATTATATTTTTATTTTATATAAACTAATAAAAATATATTTAATATAAACTAATAAAAATATATTTCATATTTGTTCCAAGCTTTTATTAAAATTTGTAAAAATATTTATGACTATATATAGACTAAAGTAACCCGGCCGAAGGCCGGGAAAAAGCGGGCTGAAGGCCCGCCTAAAAGGGGGTCTGGGGTCGAAGCCCCCAGTAATTTTTTAATTTCCCCCCCCCTTATGAAAATCCTGGCTACGCCTATGGGTAAAAGTATATTTTTTCGTCATCGATAATGCCGCTAACATAAAAGCAGCCTGGAGAATTTTAAAATCTGAATCTATTCATAATCATATACAATGTTATGGTTGTGCAGCACATACATTGCACTTATTCTTCCACTCTTTTGAACTATTGAATGTCTTCAGTTACCATATATCAATAATTTAAAAAATTGTTAAATATTTTAAGAATAAACACATACAGCTTCAGTATTTTCCCGTAATAAGAATCAACATGGTATGCCATCTACATTAAGTACAATTAACCAAGCAAGATGGGCATCGAACAAATACAAATATATAAGAAAGCTCTAAAAGCATCAGTTGTTGAAGAATCTGTATGTGATAATTGTCCCATAGATATTGCCGATAATATATTAAATGAAGAAATATTTTGGAAGAAAAATTTAAAATTTTTAGCTATACTCCAACCTTTGACTACCTCATTGTTGAAAGTGCAGGGGAATAATTATACTTTGGCCCACGTAAAAAACGAGATACTTAATTTGGAAAAACACATAATACAATCATGTCATGATTCTATATTTTCTCCCTCTGAAGTAAAAAAAATTAAAGTTTGAAAAGAGGAAAAATGATCTAAATACCTGTGCTCACAATGCTGCTTATTTATTGGTCTCCCAATATAAAGATGAGCATCTTATTAGTACAGAATTTGAAATATTTGATATAATACAAGAATTAGGTATTTTACAAGGTGGTAATAATCAAAATACTTAAATGATATATAAATTTCAAGTAAAAGCGGCATATTTAATAGCCAAAATATGTAGAAAGTTAACTTATATAAGAAACAATCAGATTTTGGCTTCAAATTTTTGTTAAATATATGATATTATTTTTTATAGATAATAATGGCGATTTAAAATATTTGGTTTAAAAAAATACAACCCTGCCTGGCCCGGATATTTTTAAAAAAAATAGCCCCAGCCCGTGTATATTTAAAAAAATTAAAATACGTCTCAAGCCAAATTAATGATAGATTATCCGAGACAGAATGGATATCCTCCGCTACTAATAACTCACGTATAACGCCAGAGTAGAAAGGTCGTTTGCCTTTCGCTAATAAGAATAAAAGCCCCATAAACTCAAAAATTTGTTAAGAAACTAACTTTCCCTAATAGTATTTCAATCAAATCTTTACGCTATTCAAAAAGATTCGAGTAGGCCTTTAAATTCATAACTTGAAGAATTAAAACAATTGATAGGGACTCTGTTTTATAATAGCATTGTAAAATAACAAATAAATCGACTCAATTGATCACCGTTTTTTTCAACAAAACTTCTTCTTTCTTTTTTAAAATTCTTGATCTGTTGACTGCAAAACCAATTTTTTAGGGATATGCCCTAATAGTTGATGGACATAGTATTCCGCATTTGCGCTAATATAGTCAGTAAGTTTATGCCTGGGAACCAATTGTCAAAGCATACTTAAAATTTTTTTGCAACGGGATTACGACAACCATACGTAGAACAAAATCTTCACAATCCCCGATATCTGGCATACTTTTAGCTTTTCTTCCCCATATAATTTCATAATTATAAATAACACCTTCATTTTCACATAATAAAAAAAATTTAAAACACTTTTTTAGGTTTTTTGGGATTGTATTATTGTAACATAATTGGAAAGAACAACTTGCTCATCAATACCTAGTTTTTCTCCTAGTGTAATTTCTTATAAAATATCTGATGTAATAGTCAACATAGTTCGTATTTTATGAAGAACATCAGGTCCTTCGATCCAAAAAAGACATGCTTTCATGTTGTCATTTAGGTGAAAGCATGATTTTATGAACTACCACCATTTTGCTAATATAATATTAGCCAACATTC